GATTCGTTAAAGATTTATTCTTTCTATTGCTTATTAATTAGGTGATTATAATGAAATTGTCAAATATACACTATTATTTTGACTTTAATGATTGTTTCCGAGTAAATCAAACGAGATTGATTGACCAGAAAATCTCAATGTTGCCAAGGAAACTTAGACCATGTACATTTATGATTCAATAAAAGTTAATTTTTTCTATTGTTTATTAATTAAGTATTTATAATATTTGCTCCGTATAATTTCACTGCTTGATATTGGCAACGTGTTTGTAGAAATTTCAGCTTTTACGGATCAGTATTATACATTTTTCGTTATTGAAGCTTTTGGATATGAACCATGTGCTTTGCATAAATTATCCCTAATTATAGTGATACTGATACCTTGTCACTCGATCTCTGGGTGAAAGTAGCTGCAATTTTAGCAAAGTGTTGAGATAATCGTTTCAAAAGGGAATGATTTATACTCGAATGACTAAATACTAGAGTATTTTTCTAAGCTTTTAAAAGAAGTTTTACAAATACTTCTGAAAGGTATGTGATAAATGTTAAGTTATTAGTATTTAGCAAGAATTTCCGGAATCGGAATACTCTTGGAATATCATCGATAAAGGAATCAAATAGGAAAAGTCCCATATAAAAGACTCAAGAAATTTCAGAGCTAACGGAGATATTTCTAAAATAAAAGGCATTATACTCAACAATTTGTATCCTATTGGTAATTGCACTCGCGAGAGGAATTGACCATTAATTTCTAACGATGTCAGTTTACGATGGATTTCAGGACGCGATTATAATTGGATGCGAGGTCGAGAAAGCCTGATTGCAAAGATTACAGAAGGGAAACGTTTAATAATAAACACTAAGATATGTATATAATATCTCGTAATAGGAATATTGTAAAAATTATTTATGATATCTTAATTAAGTTCGTAACGAGCGAAGAGATTACAAAATGCATTCAGAAACATAAGATCAAAATGCTTCAATGTAATCAAATGATTTAATGAATTATTAATTTTTGGTCGAAATAGTAAAATATTATATATTACTAACAACATTTATAGTTTCAACATGGTCATGAAAAATCAATATTTCAAACGCACTAACCTAATAATATTCAGAAATATAGTATTAAATTTAATTCTCTATTCACCAATAATGTATTCAGTGGTTTAATAATATCGTACTGTCGAAGATACCGATTACCAATGAATTACAAAGCTACTGTCGGAACAAAGAATATTAATTACTAGTTCGGCATTGTGATAATACCATTCTAGAATTACATTACTATTTGGTACTAATACCAGCTCCAAAACGATTCATATCATTTCTGTCTTGTCCAAACGAAACCAAAATAATTTATAATCTCTTTCTGCCTCTGCAGTTGAGCTCATTCTTATATAATACTATCCAACGTCAATAATATCTCACCCTTCAATTTAACTTAATTGACAAGAACCACTTCAAGCATACACTTAAAGTATCAAATTAAAACATTTTATTCTTCGTAGTTAAATTCCTCTTGCAAAATTGATCCATCTCCGACGTAACGTCACCATGCGCGATGATGAGAGCTTTCAAAATACTAAATATTTCCGACGAACAAACTTCTTCTATTTATGTAATGTTCTCTGATCCACTTCTGGACCAGCTTTTGTTTCGGTCTGATAATAAATCTGCCGCAAACCCCAGATAAATCTCGCGATGGAGTTTCACTGCATCTACCGTTAAAGAAAACGCGAGAGCCGGCGACGACTGTCTTAGTCCACACTAATAAAGCATAATAGAGGACCGTAATGAGTGGTTGCTACACTTTCCGCGAGAATGCATGAAGATAAAGAATCTCGCGCGATATACTCGGACGGAAAGTACGTCGCGTAAAAAGGGAAAAGAAATTAGCGACACCGTAAACGCATTCATCCCTCGAGCTGCGGCAGAGGATTCCAGTTTGAAGTAAAGATCGCGCGATGAACAAGCAGAGATGGCACAGCAAGATAAAAGAATGGATTTCGCGTCTGGCGGACACGCGAAGGAGGGGAGGAGAAGAAGTAGATCGATTAACACGTTCACGCCGGCGTGACCCACCGGTGAGTCGCAAGATGTGCATTTACCTGGCGATGCAAAGATGTGCACCATGCAATTTTGCTGCACTGTACGACAAGACGCCTGTTTTCTGGACAAAATTCTAGTACTTAAGTATGAGTGATGCAGAACAGTGTTTCAGACGAGAGATTTAAAGTATAGAGCCGAATGGTTGCATTTGTTTGACATTATAGTGACCTTAAGAAGCTCTTTAAAGGTCACTATTAAAATTTCAAGTGTGAACCTATGCTACAGATGATGCCAAGATGTTTTTAAAATATTAAATTTTATTCATTTATAAATATATTTAACCGCGAATGTGAAGTACAAATGCAGATACGTGAGAAACGGAGAATGTTTGTCAGGAAACCACTGAGCTAAAGAATTCAATACTCGAATTTTTAACTTCTGTTTACCTTAGCCGCGCTGTGCACCGGTGTGAACGTGTTTATCAGCAACAACTTTTTACGTAATATGACAACAACGAATAAAGAAATGAAATAATTACTCTAACGAAACTGACGAATAAAAAAGTTACTGTGTAGATTAGAAGTTGTTGATAAGTATATAATAATATTGTATTATGTTCTAAATATTTGGCACCCAGTAATTAAACACATTAAATCAAATATCGAGTATAGAAACAATAAACATTAAATAGTAACCGCGAATAATAAATCTGTAATATTAAAAAGAATTTAAATACTGTTCCCTGCGTATGTGACATATATTCCATTGACTCATGCAATTTTAATGCATTTAAAGTGAGCATCCGACTTTCATTTTGGTGGGTACATTACAAAACCGTGCAAGAAAGGAGCGCGTGATCTTTATGCTGAAACCAGCTTGCCTAATCCTGTCTTCACACAATGTATTCAATTAAATTTCTTTATTCACGCACTGTAAACCGTGAATGTGATTTACCGCTCGCAAAGGCGTGTCCAGAATGTTTATGTAAACAACAATAAATGAAATCGCCCTAAAGAATCAGACTATCCCAGCTGGAAAAACTGTACTTGGATTTAAATTGCGCATTAATTCGTGCAGCTGTTTTCACTCATGTTCACGCATCGTCGCAACTTGTTATAATATATTCAACGGATAATAGCGGCGAACCCTGCGAAACTGGAAGAAAGAAATTAATTTTGCAGTAGGAAACGAGTAATAACGGAAAATAGGCGATTGTGTTTAAAACGTGTTCTGGCATAAATATCTGCAGTGTAATAATAATAAAGAGATTGATATATCTATTTATTGAATTTGAAAATCGGTATGTACACGTAAACGAAAATCTGTTTCGAAAGAAATCAATCAACAGACCTTGATGGCGTTATGTTTCACCACTTGTATTTTTAACCCCCTTGAATAAAAAGCAAGGTTGAAACGCTGGGGCGAGACGCGATGCTCTTAAAGTTTGCATTATTAAATGACATCCGTACAATTGCATTCAGTATTGGCAACACAAGCACTATACGAACAGGCCTTCTTAGCGGGTCTATTCTCTAAGAGCACTATGTTATTGTTCACAATCTATACATCGTCGAAACTAACGATATGAATGTTAACAATTTTTTAAAATATTCATACGTTTACATTCGCAATTGTACAATAAGATTCTAGAAGAATTCTAAAAAATATGTATTGTAACATAACCGTTAATTGTCTTTGTTAAGAAATGGCGCCATTACATTCAAAATATTTCGGTGAACCTAACCCTATTGTACTACAATCACCATATTTCAAAAGTTCAATAAAAAATGGTGAAAATAACAGAATCTTCAACTCAAGAAAACTAAGGGGAAAATTAAACTAATTGCAAACGTTACTGTACCTACTCATAAAATGCTCAAATAACCATTTTGCTCCTAAATAAATAATTTGAATACATCTCTTGCATATTGTTTCCAATACTTATCTTATTCTTATAAAACCATGTACTTGCAGTACTTTTCCACTGAACCTCTTGTATATTTATATCCCTTATATTTGCTTAAGGATATTTATATACAACCCCCAAAAAGTCATATGTATTTTCAAGTGTATTAGTGAGAGAAAGAAACAACGACTACAGAGATAATGGAGTGACAACTTCCACAAGCACTTCCAGTAACAACTGTTGAACGGGCCTATTAGGGTAGTTCCAATGTTCCGTTCCGTGGATTGAAATTCAGCGGCCTGCGACCGTCATCGCGAGATTTCTAATCCCCTTACCTGATGAAAGTCGAGTCTGCTGCAGGACTGGAGGGTCTTGGTGAGGAACTCGCGGTGGAGGCGGTATTGGTTTCCTCCACGTCCATCATCATTCATACCGACGATGACGGATCGGTTCGAACGTCAGAAGGTAACGAAGAATTATTTGAACAACGGTAACGAGAATGAGAACGGGAGGAACGGCGTGTGGAGGGTGGTTGATTTGTCTGGCCCGCCGGCCCTCTCGACGTCCAATTCCACGGGGACAGAAACCATAAAGTACGGGGAGCTTGACAAGGGGTTGGGGGTTGGTTTCGTGCGCCCGTCCACGAGCGCGGACTTACGGAAAACAACTGACAGCCGACCTTACCCCCACCGTTCACAACCACCGTGGAGCGCCTGGAAATATGCGCCGCCGACACCTGCCGCACAAGGAAATTGCCGTAGCGCAGGCGCCGCTCCTTAAAGCCGTTATCGAAGCTGCAACTATTTGAATAGCATATGATTAATCAAATGTAATAAATGTGATCAAATATTATGATTTAAATTCTTAGAATCTACGTAGAAATGTTTGAACAGAAATGGAATAATAGAATAAACTATAATTGCCATCTATAAGTAGCAATTGAAGACACAACTGATAAGATATTATAGATAAGGTATTTTTGTAGGGGATGTGGAACTTTTAGAATGGAAGAAATGAAAGGAATATTTCATTTATTATGAATGACATATATTTATTTATTCTTTTGTTAAACATCTGACACAGTTTTCTGTTTTGTGGAATGATATCGTCGAGCGAATGTTTCTCCTACAAGTAATGGAAAGATTAATGTTGCTTCTCCATAAATCTAAAACATGAATAATGATAATTAAGTAAATATTATTCTTGAAAAACATCACTTCAATTTAAATGTATTCTTACTTTTACTGGTTTCGCGTCCATTCGAATTTTTCCCCATGAAACAGCTTCATCCGGGCGAGCACCACTGTCGCTTCCATCAAATTCCGATGATGTATTTATAAAAACAGCGTAGTCAGCGCCATTTCTCTAAAATAGAATTTATTTATTCAATTGATTTCACTGATTTTTTCTACTGATTTTTATATTACCATTAAATTTGCATTACAAATATGGTGTTTTATAACACCACCACCTATAATAATCATTCCACTGTTGACTGCTTTCACAGCCATTGTGTTTAGACGTTTTAAATCTAAAACAACATTATAGAAAGATAATATTTTTATTCTTATTAGCATTTTAAAAGAAGACCTCAATTTGTATTATATTAATACCTGATACTATGTCTATGACTAAACCTGGATTTCTGAAGGAATGAAAATACATCATATCACCAAGACTTCCATCTGTTAGAGCTGGACTAAAAACTGGAATTTTATTTTTTGCAGCCCAATAATAAATTGAATATTCATCATTAATTTCTTCACCCAATTTAGCTATTACTTTGGATGGTGTCCACAGAGTTCCCTATAAATGACATTCTAAAATAATTATTTTTAATAAAATAAATATTTGGCTTCTTACTTTTAAATATATACTTTTTCTTTTTGTTCAGCCAACATTGCATCTAATTTAGGCATAACCCAATCCTCGAACATGCAATAATTGTCATTAGGTACTAACAAGTTCCCTATTCTATTAATGCCACGTTCTCTAAGGCGTTTTCCTTCTAAATTAAAATCCCCTATATATGTAGGTGCCAAACATTTTATCAAATCTTCCTCAACGCCACCTGCTGTAGTAACAATACAGTCAACCTGTAAGATAAAATTATTTAAAGTTGTTAATAACAATTATCAGTATACATACTAACCATTTTATGCTGTACAAGAAACCTTATAGTGTCTCGAACTCCGCAAGAAGCCATATTAGATGTATACCCTAAAAATATGGTACATGAAGATTTCCTCCGTATAAAATCATCATCCTCTAAATTATCAATCTGTTCATGTTTAAGAGGGATATTTCTGGCATTTAACATTCGTTGAATTTCATCTACTGCTAATGCAAAATTTGTTGCTTGAAATCCAGAATTTTTATATGTTTGAAGTAAAGCATTATAATCGATTCCTTTATTCCAGTCATATCCTACAAAACAATTATTTTCAGCTTTTAGTTTTTATTAAAATCAAACACTTTTTTATATTACAGTAAGATGAAAACCTCTCACTACAGGTGTTCCTAGAAGAAGATCAGAACTATGTACTAATACGGCATTTTTTACAAGTTCTGGAACAGTGTCTTGTGAATTTTCTTTATTATCATTCATTTTATTTTCTAACTGTCTGAATCGTACTTCTTATATTATGTTTCTTCGCGCGGTATTTACAAAATACGTATAACCTAAAATATAAATGTTAAATTAACAGCAGTACCTTAAGATATTGATAAAAGACACATTATTAAAAATAATTATAATACGTAACTATAAACTGTTACTTACGACACACATCGTGTAATTACATAAATTAATTATACTTTTTTATATTATTGTTAAGCACACAGTACTTATTACTTAAATACATCAGAGATGTATAACTTACTCCCCTCAGGCTAGTAACTCGAAAAACAACGTTCCACTACATTTTCCAAGGAGCTATCTGAGCTGTGTATGTGAGCAGTTATATATAGTGCCCAAAACACACAGGTAAAAGTTAATATGGAGAGGGTAACTTTTCGTGAGGGGAGTGTCACTAGAGTGCCCGCGGGCGCCAATTTAACACCCTTAACACTACTATGCAAGTAGCGATACACAGCTGTATAATATTACAATTTCCTGATCAAAAAAGAATATAAAATTGCATAGTTATAAATTCAATATATTATAATAAAATAGTATAATTAATGAAAAATGTTCAATTAATTTTTGTGGATAATAATTTAACAGATTTAAACATTTAATTTTCTGTGATGTTATTGGCTATCGACACTCAACCAATCCGAGAGATGCAGCTTTATGGGATATGTAATGAAACTGCAGCGAAAGCTACAGGTACGAGTGGCTGGAGTGGCGTCATTGTAGAATATGAATTCAAAAGAACAACGGTCAATCGTGTCCTGACGGGTCATATCTGTTTTATGTGGTGTGTACACGTTTTCTATATCATAAATACATAAATAAGTGAAATACAGTTTCATATAAATTATTCTATTTATTCTATTATTTTCAGTAAAACGTGTAAAAGGAAAGTATAATGGCTGATTTATCTCAATGGGAACCAATAATACAGAAAACCATTGTAAAACTTCGAAATGCATTGTCTACATTACACTCGATATGGGAAGATATAGGATTTACCGAAGAAGCTCGTTCCATATATTGTGAACAGGCATTTAATCATATAAACGATTTATTACATGATATGATTCACGAATCGCAACAGAAAAAGGATATATTATTAAACAATGTCAAAGAATTAGTGGAGCAAGTTTCTATATTAAGCAAAGAAATGGGAACAAACGTAGAAGTTAATGGATATGAAAATTTACCACTGAAGACAGTAGAGGAAGTGCTGCGCACTGATTTACATAAATTAGAATACTGCAAACAACAACGATTGGCACTTTTAGAAGAATTGCGTACAAGGGAACAAAATCTTTGCAAAGTGCTAGGTACTCAACCAGTACCAATTGAGGAAAAGTTACCTTCCGAGGAGGAACTTAACAGTTTTAAACTTTATTTGGAAACACAAGAGGCAGAAAAAAATCGTTTAGAGTCTAATTTTAAAGAAATGCGTAGAGGAATTGTAAAAATGATGGATGAATTAGGCATTTCACCATCCACAAATTTTGAACATTTAGTTTATAAAAGCAATGAAAATTTTGTATTTAGCAGTAATAACATGACTAAATTACGGGAACTTAAAGATGATCTTAAACATCAAATGGAAAGGGCAAAGGAATATGTAGAAAGTGTTAAACAAGAGTTGCTGGCTCTATGGAAATATCTTGATGAACCTGAACGGATTTGTCAATCATTTCTTAACAGTTACGTTGGACATAGCGTTGCAACTATAAATGCATTAGAAACAGAATTGGAAAGGTGCAAAGAAAAGAGAAAACAAAATATTGCAAAATTCATATCTCAAATAAGATCAGAGTTAGTAAAATTATGGGATCTGTGTAAATTTAGCGAAGAACAAAGAAGACAATTTAGCTACTTTCATTGTCAAACATACACAGAAGATATGCTTACTTTACACGAACTCGAAATAAAAAGGTTGCAAGACTTTCATGCTGCCAATAAATCTATATTTGATCTTTTAGAAGAAAGGGATAACTTATGGTCAAAAATGAAGGAACTCTTTCAACGTGCAAATGATCCTGATCGCTTTTACAATCGTGGTGGTCAATTATTAATGGAGGAAAAAGAGCGCAAAACAATTCAAAAAAAGTTACCAAAAATTGAAGATCAGTTAAGGAGTTTAATAAAAGAATATGAAAGTATAAATGGAGAAGTGTTTACTGTTAACGGTATGTCAATAGAGGAATTATTAAAAGAATCATGGGAACACCTGAATGAAGAAAAAGAAATAATAAAAAAGGCTAGGAAGGAGGCAAAAGATAAATCAGTTAAAAAGATAACATTAAGCGCATCTAAGAAGACTGCTTCAAGTTCAACAAAGAAAACACCAGGTATATTGAGTACTCGTCGTCATACACCGCTGAGTACTTCAAAGAGGAAACTATTGTTCACACCTTCTCCCAATACCTCAGCAAAACGTAGAAATTTGAGTATAAAAGCTGGTGGATCCAAACAAAGGAGAAGTGGACGAGTCTCTAGAAAACTGTTACAATCTGAAAATAAAGCTATTAAAAGGAATAGTAAAAAAGAAAATTCTACATCTCAAAGCTCAGCTGTAACAGATACAACTTACAGCCAGTTTAAAGAACATTTAGAAGAAAGAAGAGAACTTCGGAGTTCATTATTACCAGAACAAGTATTAATGAACGCAGCTAAGTCAAAAATGAAAACTCCAATACGAACACCTGCCAAACCACTAAGAAAACATATACCAACAGCAACAACACCTATTACCACAACCCCTAAGTTATCTCAAACACAATTACACAAATCACCGCGTAGTCCTAGACTTGTACAATCAGCGAGATTAGCCACAGTATCAACACACCTGCCCATAATATTTTAAAACTGTTTTGAAGTAGAAAGTAAAAAACTCTTGTACTTGCTAATATTTATATATTGATATATTGTCAAAAACATACTCTTTATATATTTTTATTTTATTACTAAGTAATGCTTTAGAAATTATATTGTTTAATCAAATTTGATCACTTAAATATGATAATTATGTATTATGTACTTGTAATGGATAGTAATATGTATTGTTGCTTTTTGTATGTATATTGCTAATTTGTTAATACATTTGCCATGTTTTAATATTTAATTGCGATCTATTGTATGTGCGTACTTTAATTAATATATGTCGTATTACAAATTATAATTACATAAAGAAATTAATGTATCTACAGGGTCACATTGTAAATAAAATTTCACTTAATATGTAGTCTTATAAACTACTTCGGTAATGCATTGTTATTAAATAGTAATCAATCACAGTAGTAAGTTTATAATGAAACGTATGTTTTGTAAGTGCACGATTTCGTTATATATAATTATTATAATAATCCTTTTTATCTGATTTGAGTTATATGTAACACTTAAAATGTTATTCGATTAATTTAAAAATACATTTAAATGTATAACGTAAGTTTATATGAGTTATTAAACATTGTATAAATTTTGATACATATATAGGTACACATATATGTAGGTACCTACTTACGTATATATAATATATATACAAAACTGATCAATGGTGGCAAAGATACGTACTACGCATAAAATTCGCTAATACTTCCGGTTCCGGTAGACGCTATACGAACAAAAAAATTGTTTGTAGGTTGAGTTTGTATGTAGGTTATATTAATTTTATTAAACAAATAAAGATACTTGTAGCATTTTAATCGAATTATTAAAGTCTTAAAATGGGCGATATAAAGTCTTTTTTTCATCAATGGTGTGCAAAACATGGCAGAGAACCACAATTTGATGTGAGACCAACAGGTATATTCTTACATATACAATTTTACTTGAATATTTGAATATATTTAATAAATTGGAATAATTATTTAGGTCCTAAACATCGACAACGATTTCTATGTGAACTACGTGTATCTGGATTTGATTATGTGGGTGCAGGAAATTCAACTAACAAAAAAGATTCTCAAGGCAATGCAGCTAGAGATTATGTTAATTATTTAGTCCGTACCGGACATGTGAATGCGAATGATGTTCCAAAAGATGCAGGCACTATTCAACCACGAGACACTGGGCCTGTTGATTCAGAATCTTATGGCCCATCGAAATCTGTATTTCAAGATGGAATGGGACCTAATGATATTGGTCAAGCATATAGAGCTTACAATGAACACGGTCAAGGGAATTATACTTACATGGATAGAATAGCAGATCAAAAAAGAGTTGAAGATGCAGAAGATGTTGACGTAAATTCTGGAATACATGGAAATTGGACTATAGAAAATGCTAAATCAAAGCTTCATCAATTTATGCAATCTAATAAAATCAATGCTGATTACAAGTATACCCCACTTGGCCCAGATCATACGAGGTATGGGTTGTATCAATGTAGCTGTTTATTTTTGCACTGGATCGGATTTATCACTGCTAAAACATGACATTATGAGTCTAATTGTATTAAGATTTTTCCAACGCAAAATGAAGCAATCGCATAAGCGATTTTTCTACCATTTGAAATTGATCAAGACCATTTTAGAGTACACTACTTGATTAAATCAATGCTGGTACAAGAGAAAAAATTGATTTCTCTTGTGCACAGATGAAGATAATGTTTAACCAAAACTTTTATTGAAACGATTCAATAACGGTTTTGGTGCGATCAGTCATAAAAACTTATTATAATGTACTCCAATATGGTCTTGGATATTTTCAAGTGGTAAGTTGAATTTATGTTATCATTTTCATCTATAAAGTATATATTACAATCACATATAAATATTCATAAAACTTTAATAATTAAGATGTACATTTTTCTTAGGAGTTTTATGGCTGAAATGACATTTTACGTAAAACAACTTGGGAGAAGTAGGTTATTATATTGTTCAAGCACTTATAACAACTGACTTATTATAACAAATTTCAATATAAGTAAATTCTAGATGTTACTGGTCGTGAAACTGGTTCAAATAAGCAAACAGCTTCGAAAAGTTGTGCTTTATCTCTTGTAAGACAATTATATCACCTTGGTGTTATTGAAGCGTTTAGTGGTACTCTAAAAAAAAATAAAGATGCAGAGCAAATCAAACCATATCCAGTTAAAATTTCACCAGAGTTGGAAAATCAGATTCATGATGTTTTATCGAGTTTAAACGTAAAACCTGTTTCGATAGAATTGAATCAGGTACATTGCATATATTCGTGGTCTCATTTATATACTAAACTGACATCTACCATTAATTACTAACATTCATATAACCTTATAATGTAGGTACCATTCATAAAACAAGAAGATGGACAATCTGCACCTGCTGTATCTTTATTAACTAATCAAGTATTGGATGATTTTATTTCATCTGTACCTCAACCTGCTGGTGTAGTAAGCTGGTCTCCACCACAACAAAATTGGAATCCTTGGACTGGTTGTAATATAGATGAGGGACCATTAGCCACAATGACTTTAGAACAACTATCAGATGATTTGCAGCACGAACAACGTGAAAAAATACAGCAAGACGACAATCTACAAAAGAGTATTAAAGAAAGATCTACATTACCCGTTTTTTCGATGAAAAACAAAATAATGACCTGTATCAATGAGAATCCTATAATCATCATTAGAGGTAATACAGGATGTGGTAAAACGACACAAGTATGCCAATTTATTTTGGATGATTATATCGCATCAGGTCAAGGTGCATTTTGTAGTATTGCGATTACACAACCTAGAAGAATATCTGCCGTATCTGTAGCCGATCGTGTTGCTATAGAAAGATGTGAAAGTTTGGGCCAGTCCATTGGATATTCCGTACGATTTGAATCTTGCTTGCCAAGACCTTATGGTAGTATAATGTTTTGCACTGTGGGTGTACTTTTGAGGAAGTTAGAAGGTGGTTTGAGGGGTGTATCGCACGTTATAGTTGACGAAATTCACGAACGCGATGTTAATTCCGATTTCATTATGGTAGTTCTACGTGATATGATACACATGTATCCAGATTTAAGAATTATTCTAATGTCTGCTACGATCGATACAACATTATTTAGCAATTATTTCAATAATTGCCCGGTCATAGAAATACCAGGCAGAGCCTATCCTGTACAACAGTATTACCTAGAAGATTGTATACAATTGACTAATTTTGTACCGCCTATGGATACAAAGAAACGTAAAAATCGAGATTCGGATGAATTACCAACGGATGGTGAACCTGATGAAAATTTGAATAAAGTACTTAGTGCGGAGTATAGTATACAAACGAAGAATGCCATGGCACAGCTTAGTGAAAAAGAAATAAGTTTTGAACTTATAGAAGCTCTGCTAAGATACATTAAAGATCAAGGTATTCCTGGTGCTGTGTTGATTTTCTTACCTGGTTGGAATTTGATATTTGCATTAATGAAACATTTACAACAACATCCTATTTACGGAGGATCGAATTATGTAATTATACCATTGCATTCTCAGTTACCTAGGGAAGATCAACGTAAAGTTTTTGACCCAGTGTCACCTGGAATTACAAAAATTATTTTAGCTACGAACATAGCTGAAACATCGATTACTATCAATGACGTGGTCTATGTAATAGATTCCTGTAAAGCTAAAATGAAGCTATTTACTTCCCACAATAATATGACAAATTACGCTACAGTGTGGGCTAGTAAAACAAATTTGGAACAGAGAAAAGGACGAGCGGGTCGTGTAAGATCAGGATTTTGCTTTCATCTATGTTCCAGAGCACGTTTCAATAAAATGGATGAACACATGACACCAGAAATGTTCAGAACACCTTTACACGAGTTAGCGTTAAGTATTAAGTTATTGCGATTAGGTAGCATCGGGAAGTTTTTGTCGAAAGCCATTGAACCACCACCGATAGATGCCGTAATTGAAGCGGAGGTCATATTACGTGGTATGTATTTTAATTAAAAAAAAAATTTGATATTATTTATTACATTCTTGATACCTAAAATTCTGAAATAATGATTGATCTTTGTTGTAGAAATGAAATGTTTAGACGAAAATGATGAATTAACCCCACTTGGTAAAATATTGGCCCGTTTACCTATAGAACCACGTTTAGGTAAAATGATGATTCTGGGTTGCATTTTCCGAGTCGGTGATGCTTTGTCTACAATGGCGGCGAATAGTACAACATTTCCAGAGGTATATAACATGGGTCCTGATACCAAACGGTTAACTACTCAACAGAAATGGTTTGCTGGTGCAAGATACAGTGATCATGTGGCGATGTTACATGCATTCCAAGCTTGGGAAGAAGCTAGGACTGGTGGAGAATATGCAGAACAAGCGTTTTGCGATTCTAAAAACTTGAGTATGCCTACATTGAGAGTTACATGGGAAGCTAAAGTAAGTTTTAGTATTTATTACTTAAATTCATTTGAAAACAACGTATGTATAATATTTTTCGTTTAAAGAACCAGTTACAAGCGCTTTTACAAAGTGCTGGTTTTCCGGAGGAAACTTTGTGCCCTACACCACTGAATTATCAAGCTGGCGCTGATGTGCGTCTTGATACAGTTACTGCTTTATTATGTATGGGTCTTTATCCAAATGTTTGTTATCATAAAGAAAAAAGGAAAGTTCTTACTACCGAATCTAAAGCAGCTTTAATCCATAAAACGTCAGTGAATTGTAGCAATTTTGAGCAAAACTTTCCATTTCCATTCTTTGTGTTTGGGGAGAAGGTAAACCTTGGGTTTTGGCCATTTTTGAATTTATATTTTGGAATATTGGAATTATATTTCTTTTTCTTATATTTCGACATTAATATTTTATTTCTGTTTGTAGATTCGCACAAGAGCTGTTTCTTGCAAGCAATTAACAATGGTGTCTCCGATTCACTTATTATTATTCGGTTCTCGAAAAGTTGAATACATTGATGGGGTAGTAAAACTAGACAACTGGATTAATTTAGACATGAATCCAAATCATGCAGCCGCAATAGTGGCTTTGCGACCTGCATTGGAAGGTCTTGTTGTGAAGGCTGCAAAAGAACCAGAAACTATTTTGGAACTAACTCCTAATGAAGAAAAAGTAGCATTTTATGATAACATATCTAAATAATACCTTCAATTTCAAACAATGTGAATATAAACGTTTTATTCTCTTTTGCAGGTATTAAGTTTAATCAAGACATTGTGTGGAATGAATGCTTGTCGTTATGAACTGGATCAGATTACAGGTGGTGGTTTCCAATCGCGAAGACCACCCAGAGGACATTTAAGCGGTTTTTATTCGGATGGCAGTAGCGCTGCGAAAATGATGCGAGGAACTGGTGGTTTTCGTGGATCTCCTCGCGGTGGTGGCTTTGGAAATGGAAATAATGGCAACGGGGGAGGTTTCTCAAGAAATAATAATTACGGTGGTTTCCGAAGTGGTGCGAACAGAGGCTACGGAAGTTACAATTCACGAGGAAGAGGTGGCGGAAACTGGGGTGGAAGAGGTGGTTTCCGCGGTCTTTATTAATGGCAGGTTTAAATAACCTTTCAGTTAAAACTAGTGAAAATTGAGTGTAATATGTAATTGACGTATTATATTTAAATGTATGTTATTTTCTATTTGGCAACACAATAATTACTTTAATAATACTTTTGCTTTTGATGTTTGGATGAACTTTACAGTAATACAATATATTTTTATATAAGAAGAGATTTCTTTTGATAGTGATTTTTAGTTAATGTTAAGATTTATCAACATTTATTTATTCGAATGTTTGAACACGTGCCACCAACAAATATGGAGATAAAATTATTTACAAATGAAAATGAAAATTGTTATATTTCCCATGTTATGTTCGTGAAAATGCGTTGAATATATTTTATGAATCATATTCAGACTGATCTTCACTAGGAATACATTACAAATCGGTAATGCTCCCCTAAAGACGTATTAAAGTACATAGAAATTTAAAATTTCATATGTAAATAATTCATTCTCTTATTGCTTTCAAGAAGTGTTCACTAAGCGTTCACTAAGTAAACAAAACTAATCTCTTCTTTACACCGAAAACATCGAAAATGGGAGTAAATAATATAGCATATTATGTGAATTTATGCTTTACAATATCTTCTAAAATCACATTGTTTTTCGATTAAAACATGAATTGTATTATTCCTATAAATAATAGTACAAATAAAGCTTTACATATTATAGAATAGTATTTATGTACTGCATACTTGATATCATTAATGCCTAATTATGTACATACCTACTTAATAAATATATCTAATCTCATGTATCTAATCTGGCACAGGCAAGGCGCGGCTATACTTTCGAAAACCTGACAAATCCAATTACTCATCATTGGAAGGAACACTGAATAAAAGACTTTCACATATGTTTAAGTATTATTTTACTCAATATTTTTCTTAAAAACTTATTCACGTAATATAAACCCTACAAATGCATATGAACTTTTACAATTTTATTATAAATTATAATATAAATTTTAAAAGTTAAAATATTTTTGTTTCAAAATATATATTTAACAAATATTATTATACATATATAAAAATAATGCACAATGGTAACATTATGCTATTATACATATTCTGTAAAAAAAGCTTAACATCAAAATACAAATCTCTTCAGAAATAGAATAAAATTTCATTATAAACTGATTTAATTTTCATGTTTATTATATATTACTATTTAATATATATATATATTACATTTTTCTTTCAAGTACATGTAACATTTTGGAATAAAATGTTTTAAAGCACCAAATATGGAAAGTTGTAGCAAATAATTACATTACTTATTAAAGATGAATATCGTTAGTTTATGTGTGAAATATTAACTTGTATTAAAAACATTACGTACATTGTATTACAAAGAAACCAATTAGCATTTACGTATTTAACTATAACCTCTTACATTCTCATGTAAACTACATACTTGAATACTGAATTACTAAAATCGTTTATAACTTACATTGATGTTTAAACACTTCTTTGTTATTTTACATTTTTATCCATAAGTATTTTTCTTTTCATTATAAAAATCACTTTATAAAGATGAGTTAAAAATTACTTTGAGATACAAATATCGCTTATTTTCAATTAATGTATTATTTAATGAATGTAACAATAACGTCCCCTTCACAAAGATTAGTTTAAAATTGCAGCTTTTTTATAGTTCCATGGAATGGATTTCACTCATATCCTTGTTATCAGCTTCCTTTCTTAGTAAAGCATTAGTCACGATTTCTTGATAATACTCCCCGAATACAATTCGATTATGAGAAATGAGAATTAAAAACTGTGCTACTATAGCAGTCAATTCTTCTTGAAGGGAAGAAAGTCCTGGAGGCACTTGCTGTGGTGCTGTTGATTGAGAGAGTATTATTTTCTGCAAAAACTGTCGAATTCTTAAACCTGAAAAATAAAAATTAAAAAATAATTCTAAAATATATAAATATAACATGATTATTCAAATTTCTGTGAAATATTTACTGATAAGATGCCGAATTTTATGTTCTGGTTTAACGAGCTCTAATATTTGTCCTTCCAATAATGTTTCTAACTCTGCAGATAACTGAGCAGCACCAATTTGTTGTAATGTCGTGTTTACATCTGTGTGTACTTGTAGTACAATATTTAACATTAATCCTTCCAAATCTCTGCCAATAAATTCATAAAATTAATGAACTGTACAATTTTATCATTTATAACTATATTTAAATATTCTTATATGCATACTTATTTGAATGCACAGACTCCAACAATACGTTAAGGTGTTGCTTTATATTCTTCTTAAAACTGGATACTCCATAAATTGCTTCACCGACTGTATTATTTACTAGTAATATAACAGCACCGATAATACTTAATCTATTGGTCTTATCACGAAGTTCTAACAGTCTACCTTGATCTAGCATCAAAGTCTGAAAAAATATTTAAAAAAAAGATAATCTGTTATATTACTATTTTAAGCA